CCTGCCGCTCTTGCCTCCGGAGTAGAAGGCGGGCGACGTGAGTGATGGATGGCAGGCAATTAGGGAGCAGCGCACCGCCCGGGGGGGCCGGCCTCCGCGCACCCACCACGAGGGCCTGATGGCCTTGCCAAGATGAGCTCTCAAGTGGGAGCCGATCAACCAGCCAGGACCTTACTGTATCCTGGGCCCTGTGTGGCTGTAAAATGGCCTTCAGGTTCCCAAAGAGCAGTTCAGGAAACTCTGTCTGCAGAGTCGAACAGTCTGCAATTGGGTAAACCTCAAAAACAGGAGAGCTTCCAGAGTGACAGCCACTGAGCAAATTCCTCCCCCGAGGCAGCAGAGGAGTGTGACTTCGCCTCTGACAGGCGGTTAGGGGGAATGCGGAGGTGCAGAATTTCCATAAATGTGTAGGAGAGGCTGCGGGGTTTTGGAGTTGGGACCTCAGAGACCCCGTCCAAACCTCTGCACAACTTGGAAGTTTGCTCTGAGCCACTCCTCTCTGGCTGGTGGGTCGCTCTGTCTCACCAGCAACTCATCAGCCAGCAGCCTGCCCTCCCTGACTCCTCAGCAGCTGTTGAAAACCCCAAGACAGGTCACAAAGAGTCGATCCCAGCAGGTTGGAGGGAGACTCTGGCTTCCCAAGCCGTCGGGGGCCCCTCACACACCAGTGTGAACCAGGAAGCTGCTCATGGCTTCTGTAACCCTTCTTGCATTTGTCCCTTGAATACTGCTGGCCCCAGGCCCTGGGCTCCACAGGCTTCTGTCTCAGGTGACTAGCTTGGAACCCCAAGAGGCCCCATAGGGTCGAAGGAAGAGCTGCTGGAGTGAGCGGTCTTGCCTCTCGCTTGCTTTGAAAATGTGAATATTCTCTTCCATTCAACAAATATACATCAGGCACCATTACGGGTTGAACTGCGTCACCCTAAAAGATCTGTCGAAGTCCTGACCCTGGTCCTCGTGACTGTGGAGATAGGCTCTTTGCAGATGAAATCAGGTTGAGATGCTAGAGTAGGGTGGGCCCCTAATCCGGTCTAAGTGGTGTCCTTATGAGAAGAGGAAAATGTTGTATAAAGACCCAAATACACAGGGTGAGGTCAGAGGTCCAGACTGGAGTAACAAAGCCGCAAGCCCCGGAATGCCAAGGGTGGACAAGGAAGGGTCCCACCTAGAGTCTCGGAGAGAGGAAGGCCCTGCTGACACCTGGATTTTGGACCCCGAGCCTCCAGAACTGTGAGAGAAGTCATTTCTGTTGCTTTAAGCCGCGCGGTGTGTAGCGCTTTGCTACGACAGCCCCAGGAAGCTATCAGACGTGGCTCCCGTGGGCTGGGTATCGTGCTAGGGTGCATGTGGGTCGGAGTGGGGGGAGAGATGGCACAGGGATGTGACCTGTCCTTGGTCAGTCGTCGAGTGGCACATTTTCTTGAACATCTACCGTGTGTGTCAGACATTGTGCTGGTGGCTGGGATGCAGCAGGGAAAGGAATAGGCCAAAAAATCCCTCCCTTAAGGACTTCTTGATCTAGCGGGAAGAGATAAACAGGAACGTAACAATAACACCAACAACAGCAATACTATAGCCGAGAGCAAACCGAGCAGCAGAGCAGAATACGGCAGGGAGGGCAGACAGACGTGGGAAAGGTTAGAGGTTCATATAGGGCGATGGAAGTCTCCTTGAGGTGACATTTAAGCGAGTGCGGTGGTTCTCAGCCCTGGCTGCACATTAGAATCACCAGGGAAGCTTAAAATAAAACCGAGCAAATGCAATCAATAGCAGAGCCCCACCTCAGGCTAATTAAGCCAGAATGTCTGGGTGGGGGCGGGGGAACTCTGGGGCCACCTTGTAAAAGCTCCAGGTGTTCCCAACAGACCCCAGGACTAAGAGCCGCTGGTCTAGCGGGGGTGTAAGCAGCTGTGGAAGAAAGTGTTCTAAGGGCCAGCGAGGTCCCCCGTGGAGGAGGAGCATGGTGGCAGGCCTGTCCCTCCTGCCTGGCTGGGTCAGCTCAGCAGGTGTGGGAGGTCGCAGCTCAGTGATGCCACAGCTGCCGAGTGCGCCCCTGTCGATGGAGTCCCAGACTCACCCCCTGAGCCCCTGGGCCCATTCTCTCCTTCCTCCCCTGCTTCTCGTCAGCCTGCTGCCCTGGGCTACCTGACCCGGTGGTCCAAGTGCGGGGTTCAGGAACTTTGGGGTCTCATCAGCCGCCTAAGCCAGGCCTCCGCTTGCAGCTTTGGACTTGGCATAGAATAGCCGCTGGGCCTGGCACCTGCTGGCTTTGCTTTGGAGATACTGACCCTGGCCGATGAAGGTTTCCTAGGTCTGGAGCAGTGGATCTTGACCCCAGCCTGAGCTGGCTTTGGTTTCCTGAGTGTTAGAGAAGAATTTCCAGAACAGCCATGTGACGGTGCTTTTACCTAGACCGGGGGAGACCTTCCTCTCGTTCCTGAGTGGAGTGGGCCAGATGCCTGAAAGATTGGCAGGCAGGGAAGTGCAGGTGGGTGGGGAGAGGGCTGCACCTTGTTAGGGAGCTGCGATCAGCATCCGGAGCAGGGCAGCCTGCCCTCACCTGCTCCTCTTACCTGGCAGGCAGGCTGCTGAGCCCGTCAGACCCCAGGTACCAAAGGCTGGTGGAGCCCCCCGACTCCCGTGCACCTTCTGAGCCCTTGCCCGCATAGCTGCCCTCTCCTGTGCCCTGCCAGGGCAGCTTCTCTCCACTCCACTCCTCTTCCTCCTCCTCCCCCTCAGCTTCTCTTCTTTCCCCTCCTTCGGCTCGTCTGTTTGCACCTTCCCTCGTGTGAGCTGGCAAGCAGCTGGTGCGCGTGCCCCCCCTCGGTGGAGTCCTCGAGTCCTGGACTGCCACGCCTGGCGGCCCAAACGTGCCCCTCTGCCTCCCTCTGCCCCGCATACAATGCCAGACCCCTGAATGATGCTCTTATTCATTTAAGATGGCTGTGGGGCCATCAGCTTAATATTTATAGGTTCAACTCCTGGGCCGTGAAGACAGGTTGCCCGTGTGGCTTTAGGCATGTGACTCATCCCCTCTGTGCCTCCGTTTTCTCACCTGTAAGAAGAGGAGGATGCTGACCTCACAGGGTGGTCGTGATGTTGAAGTGCGTTAATACCCATGAAGTGCGGGGGATCCCTGGGTGGCACAGCGGTTTAGCGCCTGCCTTTGGCCCAGGGCACGATCCTGGAGACCCGGGATCGAATCCCACGTCGGGCTCCCGGTGCATGGAGCCTGCTTCTCCCTCTGCCTGTGTCTCTGCCTCTCTCTCTCTCTCTATCATAAATAAATAAAAATTAAAAAAAAATACCCATGAAGTGCTCAGAACAGTCCAGCTGTTTCCAGATGCAGGCTTTGTTATTATCCAGGCATGCAAAGGCAAATAGATGAGGAGACAACTGCCATTGAAAAGATCAGTTGTTACTCACCCTGGGAGGAGGGAGCACGCCACACCGTGGGAAACCAGCCCCCACCTCCACCAGTGGGGAAGCACTATGGTGGCCCCGGAGGCAGAGTGAGAGGAGGTCGAGGACCAGAGCCTTCAATGGGGTTTCTGCAGGAAGGAATAGGTGAGGCAGAGAGAAAGCAGGCTTGGGATGGGCTAGTTTACATAATTTCAGTGGGCCCTGGAGTATAGGGACTGGGTCTGGTACCTGTCCCTGAGGTGATCGGGGCAGGAGAGTAGTGGCTGGGGTGTGAGAGCCTGGTTGGGGTGCGGGGCTCTGCACCCTAAGGAAAGCTGTTGGCTCTCTCTAAGACCCAGCTAGCCTGGGACGGACCAATAGGCTCCCCAGGCCTTACTGACCCCAGATGTCAAACATCAGAATAGGAAGACAGGCTTAATGCCCTAATACACATTTTCCAAATACAGTGACAAGATGTGTTTAGTTCTACATTCTTAATTTTAAAAAGGAAGACGATCTAGAGCCTCAGGAGCCTTGTGGCATGGTGGGAAGAACACAGGCCCGGGGGAAGGAGCCCACCAGGCTGCTGTCTGCAGCTTCTTTCCCCAGGCTCAGCTGCCTCGTCCGCGAGGAGACACCAAGCCTTCCCTGCAGGGCTGCCTGGAGGACTCAGTGAGAAGACACTTTGGAAGCTCCCAGCTCTGAGCCAGGCCACTGGGAGCATCTCAGTACATGAGAGTTATTACATTTTTGTGTTCATTTAAAGAAAAAAAAAAACAAAACAAAACTCCAGGGGCCCTTCCAACTCTCCAGCCCCGGGGCCTCACCTGTAGCAGCGTGTGGTGAAAGAAAAGGAAGACAGTTTTAACCTCGGGAACACAAGCCGTGGAGATGGATAGGAGATCCACAGTGCGCAGTGCAGGGACTGGCTGCTACATTTGACGACGCGCCTGGGGATGAGGCTGGAGCTGCTGGCAGGGACGAGCTGGAGGCTTCCAGATGTGCTTGCTGGCTATGTCTTCCCCTCTCTTTCCTCCCTGAGCCTCTTTAGTCTGTCCCTTCTAGAGGACTCCCTAGGGACGGAGGGCTTCGGTCCGAAATCTTATCTGTGGGACTGGGAAGTGAGACCTTAGTATGGTTGCCATCGAGGCCCGAAGCATTTTCAAAGCACATGAATCAAGGGTCCCAGCTACCTTGAGGGGCTGCTCAGGAGTCAAACAGGGCAGGCTCAAGAGGTGACAACTGGGAGGGTACGGGGAGGCAGGCCCCTGCCTCTGGTACCTGAGGCAGACTCACTCCCAGGCCTCATATGCCTCTGCACACACACCCCCACCCCCTGACCCGGGCAGGAATGAAGGCATAATTAGAGCACAGAAGGCAGGACTGTATCTCGTCTCCCAGCCAGCCCGGAGAGGCCAGCCTCCTCGGTTCTCCACTGCCAGGCCTCTTTATGCCTCCCCAGCAGCCATTTGGAACCCCCCGCCCCCGGCCTCCCCAGGACTCTTGCTGGCCAGCAGCCCTCCTAAGGCCCAGGGTGGCCCCGGCTGTCCCCCTGACCTTCCTCCCTCATGGGGGTCTTCCTCCACCTGTCTCCCCAGCATCCTGTTTGCTGACATCGAGGGCTTCACCAGCCTGGCATCCCAGTGCACTGCCCAGGAGCTGGTCATGACGCTCAATGAGCTCTTCGCCCGCTTCGACAAGCTGGCTGCGGTGAGTCACCCTCCCTACTGTCCTCAGCACCCAGGGCCCGCGCCAGAGCCAGAAGGGTAGGCCCATCTGCGCTGCCCGAGGGAGAGTGCCGTGGCCAAGGACCCACCGGGCCCCAGCGACAGGCACTGTGCCTTCATGTGCCCTGTTGTGCGGAGCCCACTGCTGAGAACTGGGGAGGGGCAGAGGGGCTGCACGGGCTGTGGCTACGTGTCCTCACACCGCACGCAGTCGGATGTGTTTTTATACTGTCATTGGTCACAGGGAGCAAGGGAGCCAGCTCTCCGTCTCAGGAAGGGGTTGGTAAGGCTTGCAGGTGACACTGCCCAGGCCCCTGAGGAATTTCTGCTCGGTGGGGCAAATTATGTGCCCATAGAGCCATTTTCTTGATGAGGTCGGCCAGAGTGGTGAGAGAATGAGTCTGAAACCCAACTGGCCTGCGGACAGCTGTGTGTCAGCCCCCAGAGGCTTCCAGAAAGAGGACTCTGCACCGTTTGGACAAATTGGAAGTAGCAGCCCAGGGCCTGGAGTAGTAAATGACGTGTTTACTCGTTAGGTCCCTGTTTACACTGTTATCCTTTCCCAGCTTTTGTGTCTTTGAGTGATGCTCTGGGCCTTTGTAGAATCATTATGTGTCAGGGGCCACTTACTGGCAATGTCCAACGACCTGCGGCCACATTCCCTTTCGCCCTACAGGACATCAGATCATTGAGGAGAGGCTGGCGCTGGTCGGAGGTGGTGCCAGGGCCTCTAAGAGCAGGAGATGGTGGGTCTCACGCCAGCCTGATGCTTTTTTTTTTTATCACTGAACAGGAATGAGGGGAGTTGGATATGTGCTGGGACCTCAGACATAGGATGGGCCTTAAATGAGGATCCAAGGCCACACGGACACATGCATCCCAGTGTCCCACTTCCTGAAGTAACTTCTGGGGGCCAGCCTTGGAGAGCTGAGGACTGGTGACTAATGACACCCCATCCCAGTCCTAGTCCTGGATCAGTCTTGACCTTATTGTACTCAGGAGCAGCAGAGTGCCTCAGCTCTGTGGGGGTCTTATCGCTCACAGGCTTGCTGGTTAGCATCACTCTGGTCAAAGTCTCAGACAGTCTGAGGGTCAGACAAGCTTTGGCTAAGTCTCATTCCTGCTTCAGTCTTCTGTAAAAGAAGGAGAATCAGAAAACTGTTGGTAGAACCTTAGGCCAAGAGTCCGAGCCTTCTCTAGGGCCTGGGAGTGGAACCAGGGACACTGACTCTCAACTTGGGGGCCTTCCTCAAACTGACGAGTCTGCCCTATTTGCTCCCGCATCGGACCAGCTGCATTCTTCTTGGGTCTCAGCAGTGACCGTAAAAGTGAGTTCCTGAGCCTGGGGAGGCTGGAATGCCTGAGGGCTGCTCAGCCTGTCCTCCATCCCCCCCAGCTCTTGATAAGCCTGTCCTGGGGCTGGGGCCATGCATCTGCCGGCACTGGGTCTGTGCTCACTGCCCTAAAAGGCAAGTTATTCCAGGCATGGGGTGAATCTGTTTGCTTCCCGTTTCTTTCCCTCCCACTTCTCTTTCCTACTATTTTTAATTTTTAAAATTAATTTGCTTTCCAGGAGAATCACTGTTTACGTATTAAGATCCTGGGGGATTGTTATTACTGTGTCTCTGGGCTGCCCGAAGCGAGGGCCGACCACGCCCACTGCTGCGTGGAGATGGGCATGGACATGATTGAGGCCATCTCGTAAGTGCCCGTCTGTGAGGGGACCGTCCCACAGCCTGGGTAACGGACGTTGGAGGGTTGCTTCGCATCTCTTGGCTTTGAGCCTTATCCTGGGCAACTTCTGCCCACAGCAGCCTGGGAAGTTTATCCCCGAGGAACATGTCCTGTAGGAAGGGAAAACTTTGCAGACTCCAGGGCAGCAGGAGGCGTGGCCCCACCTCTGCAGGAGAGGAGGACCAGCTGGCCTGCGAGCTGCGCCCTATGCATTGCTCCCTAGTCTCTTAGTCCCACAACCACCCAGGCAGGTGTAGGGCCCTTTTGGCCCCATTTCTTCCCAGATGAGAAAGGTTGGACTCACAGAGGTTAAACATCCGCCCCTCCCCCAGGGTGATATAACACGGTGGGTGGATGGAAAACACGGGTGTCCCCATTTAAGAAAATCCATCTTTGCCAGAAACAATAGTAAAAAAGAGCTTTGGCCAATTCTTGGTCACTGCTGTCCAGAGAGGGGGCCCCATCTTCCATTAAAAGATATGGAAAATCAAAAAAAAATATATGGAAAATCCAAGCTTAGGCTTGGTGGCTTTGGAGCTTCAGAAGTATCCTGGGCAGGGGCACAGGAAAAGCCTCGGTGGACAAGGTCAGAGGTCAGAGTAGCCGTCCAGGACGGAGGCCGGGTCCCTTCGGTTTGGCGGAGCTCCCCCCGGCGGTTGTCGCTGATGGCCCTGCATGCCTGGGCGAGCTAGTGCTTCCTTCCCTCGCCCGGGAGCACCGAGTCTGTTGAGGGAGAGGCCGGGACTCCCGCTGCTGTGGTACCAGCGGAGCAGACCCCAGCAGGTGAGAGAGGCAGGCTGCATGGGAGGGCCCCGGAGGGGGCATTCGTTTCCATCGGGAGGACCAGCAGAGGCTTCCTGCAGCAGGTGGCCCCGGGGGTTAAGCCAGAAAGGTAGATCGGGTTGTTATCGCCCGAAGCAAGGGCCCCGAGGCACCGTGCACGAAGGCACAGCTCCAGCAGAGATAGCCAGGACGAGAGAAGCCAGGAATGACGTGCCTCTGCCCTGCGTCGGGGGTGGGAGGAGGGCCAGCGTCCTCGGCTGCTCCTGCCGCTGGCTGAGCGGGCCTACCCCGGGGTATCGGAGCACCCAGGTCCCTGATGCCTCCCCCTGGAGCACCTGCACCCTCTCCTGCAGACCCCGCACCTCAGACACACGCAGGATATAGCGCCCATCACACTCTCCAACCCAGAGGGCCCGCCCATCTCCTGGAGAGCCCCTCACCCCTGGGTGTGGTTCGTGGCCGGGGCGGGCCGGGGTCCTGGTGCCACCTTCTAGCACATGGAACCTCCCCTGCACCTGTTCAGGCTGCACCTGTTCAGGCTCCCCTCCTCTCCTGAGCAGCACAGATGTCCGCCCTTGAAACTCCGTTAACCACCTTTTGCTATTATGCTGCAAATTGTGTCCGAGAAGCAGCAGCGTGGACAAATCTGAACGTTAGATGAGTGGGGTTTGGAGTGGCTGGGACTTCCCCCGTTTGGCTCGAGTGGGCATGGTTCGCGTTTGCACCTTGAGAACACAGCGCCCTGGGTGCCTTGGCAGGCACCGTGGGGCCGGGCTTGTAGGGCCGGGCTTGTAGGGTGAGGCGCTGTGCCCTCTTGTGGCCACGCCAGGAAGCAGCGCCCCATGGCTCAGCCCCGGGCACCCCTTGGGTGAACAGTCGCAGACCCTGCCCTGGGGGCTAGACTAGAGAGAAATGCCGCTTTGACGCCTGCACCTGTGTCACACCCCGACCCCACACCTCCCCTACTCTGTGCGCCTGGCCCCGACCCTCTCCCAGCCTTACCCCTGCTCCATCCCCAGGTTGGTCCGGGAGGTGACAGGGGTGAACGTGAACATGCGCGTGGGAATTCACAGTGGGCGAGTACACTGCGGTGTCCTTGGTCTCAGGAAGTGGCAGTTCGACGTCTGGTCTAATGACGTCACGCTGGCCAACCATATGGAAGCTGGAGGCAAGGCTGGGTGAGTGAGGGCCCCACTCTGCTGCGGGGCGTGGGGCTGGGGTGGGCACGACGGGCAGACTCGCAGCTCCGGGGCGGCCGAATTTAAGTAGAAAGTCCTCTCCTTGGCCAACCACTTGCCCCACACTGTGGCAAGCTGTAGGGAGCATCCTCTCAACCTTTTCCCCAGGCTTCACCTAGAAGGTTCTTGCACAAAACAGGGCGGCTTGTGGTGCGATAAGGTGGGGTCAAGTTCTGGGGGAGGGAGGAGCCATGGGTATTTCCTGGGCGTCCAGGACCGAAAGGAAGGTGGGACCTGAGCTGGCCTGGATGACGGGGCAGGATTCGCACAGGTGAGGGAGGTGGTGGAGGTGGGGAGAGGGCCCGGCCGAGGGACCAGGGCGAGGACAGGCTCAGGCGTGGGAAGCACAGTATTTCCAAGGAATGGAAGTAGAGCACTTGACCTCGTAGGGACCGGTGGGGAAGCAGTGCCTGTAGTAAAGGGGCACCGTGCCAGGCTAGGGGATCTGAACTCAGTCCTGCATCAGCCGGAGCCGAGCCACTGCTGGGCTGAGTGGGTTCGCAAAGTTGGGAAGACTGAGGCTGTGTCCTCCTGACGGGCCCGTGATGATGAGACAGCCTGATGTGCTGCGGTGCAGCCAGGGTGGCGGTGAGCTCGGGAGGGGCCCACCCGAGCCGCCCTGGTGGCAGTGGGGGGATATGGCCCTTCGAGACCTAGGTCGGGGCCTCGGTTGGGGTTGGCAGTTGAGCCAGAGTTCGGGGCTCGAGGTGTGGCTCTGCAGGGGGCTGGGGTTGTCAAGTCTTGTCCTCTGCTCTCGTCTCCCTGCGTCCCTCCCCATGCAGGCGCATCCACATCACCAAGGCCACACTCAGCTACTTGAACGGTGACTACGAGGTGGAGCCAGGCTGCGGGGGCGAGCGCAACGCCTACCTCAAGGAGCACAGTATCGAGACCTTCCTCATCCTGCGCTGCACCCAGAAGCGGGTCCGGCGGGGTGGGGGGGCCCAAGGGCCAGGGGGCCGGAGAGCCGGGAGTGGTGGGGGGCCCCGGCAGGGCCTTAGTTTTCCTGGGAAGGAATGTTTCTTGGCATCCGCTTCTGAGTCTTCGTGTCTCCTTGAGTTAAGTGGTGGATCCCTCATGCCACTGCAGCTCCTGCAGCCCGGGAAGCACATCGAGTGCTTGCACCCCGGAGCGCTTGCAAAGGCTGATGGCAGACGGGGATCCTTTCATTTTCCCACCGTTGCAGAAATGCAACAGGCCTGAAATCAGTTAGCAGGGGCACAGCAGCAGGCCAGGGCGTGGAAATGGAACAGCCAGGAGATCTGTCCCCCGGCCACTGTCTGTGCATTTGTTTCACGCCCGCCCCGCTCCTGGTCTGTTGCCTGAACCAGGCGGACATCGGGCCTGTCTCTGTCTCTCCATCTCTCACCTGTCTCTGCCAGTCCCTACAGACGTTCGGGTTTCCGGAGGACCTCCGTCCTTTCCCTTTCTCCTGCCTCCCTTTGTCCCAGCCCACACTCGCCCAAATATAAAACTGAATTATTAGCAGGCTTTGGCGTTCTATTTTTAATAGTGTCATGTTCCATGTTCTTAATTTTTAAAGCGAATGAAGAGAACATTTTCTATTTCTCCCTAGATTAAAATGCCTTTTACTGACGAAGCTTTCCGTTGCGTTGACCTGTTGGTCAGCGACCTTTGCTAGAGAAAAGCTTCCCTCTTTCTTTCCTGAGAAGTTAGACCAAAGATAAAATTAAGCAGAGAGAGAAAAGTCCGGAGAAAGTCTTGGGTGACAGCAAAGGTAGATTTGGGGGCTCCTTGGAGGCGGGTGTCCACCCTGGCAAGGATGTCAACGGGGCACCCCATGTGACACAGCAGCACACGAGCTGTGTCGGGCCCCCACGGACCACAAACAGGGATGGTGGAGGATTTAGGCGCTCCGGCAAGAGCACCTAGTGGCTTATTTGACACATTTTTGAACACTTGCTTGCTCTTTTACAAGAGTATGGGTGACCTGACCTCCCTCCAGGCCCCCCTCCCACGCTCTCTCCTCTGCCAAGGTAGCAAGGTCTTCAGCACCCCCTTCCTGCCCCACCCAGGCCAAGTGCTCACCTTTTACCCTGGGTTCTCTGGGTCATGTTCTTCCAACTTGAAAGGTGGGTCCAGCAAGGACGAAACAGAGACAGAGAGTGACACCTCATACCCTCTCCCCCCACCTAGAGCAGTGTCAGCTGAAGCAAGCTGCGTCCCCTCCCCGCTGCGGCCCTGATCCAACAGGCTCCATCCCAGGCTCAGAGAGGGAGCTGAGGGGAAGGCCAGCTCAGGTCTCCCCAGGGCCTCTCCAACCTTCCGCCTGGAGCCCGTTAGATGGATGGACAGACAGATATCATGGTTGGCACGCAGGAAGCCAGCTGAGGGAGGCCCTGCTTTGTGTATTTGTATAATGTATGTTGTTGTTCTTTGCATCTCAAGGGACCCAAGTTTCTAGAACCTTCAGGGCAGCAGGGCCTGCCCTATGGCTCTCTCTGGAAGAACATATCTGTCTGGGATAAGTTGAGTGGAGATTGCAATCCCTGGTTTCCTTTCCCGCCTTTACCCCGAGGCACCTTGGACATCCCTGCCCACCCCCGAGGATTCTGTGCCGATGACAGTTGCCAAAGACCAGCCTCCCGCCTAGGCCAGCCAGGACTAGCGTTGGGGAGTGTGAAGGGATTTAGGATGCTCTCTGCAGTGAGCTCTAGGCTCCAGGCTGTGCACAGAAGAGAAGGGTACCTGCCCCAACCGACCCCTGCACGGCCAGGCCCCTGGGAGGAATGAGAAGCCCCCTGACCTGGGCTCCTCTGGTAGGCTCTGCCCACAGGCTGATGCATCTGGTTTTTCTCCCAGAAAGAAGAAAAGGCCATGATCGCCAAGATGAATCGCCAGAGAACCAACTCCATTGGGCACAACCCGCCCCACTGGGGGGCCGAACGTCCCTTCTACAACCACCTAGGGGGCAACCAGGTGTCCAAGGAGATGAAGCGCATGGTAAGTAGCAGGTGGGGCAGCGTTGCAGACAGTACTGTCCAGGGCTAGGGTCTTCCGTGGCTGTGAGGGCCGGGCCAGGCCCCTTGGGTTGCCCGACAGACTCTGGAGAGCCACCGAAGCAACTTAGGACAAGGAGCCGGAGAGCCTGACTTCTGACCCTGCACCCTCTCCACGAGTCCTTGAGGCTGCAAGCAGACCCCAAGTCCAGCCCAAACCTCCAGTAATCCCTCAGCACTGTCGGGTCGGGCACCAGCTCATTGGACGCCCTTCCGGCACCTTCTGCCTCTCCCAGGCAGCTGAAACACATCATTTGGCTCAGAAACCATGTCAGTACTTTTTGGCAAGCTCCAGCTGATGGTCCCCTTTGCCCTCTGCTGAGAAGCGCCCCTGCTGAGTGCGGGTTTCCAGTGGAGCGTGCAGGCTGGAGGAATAGTGGCCGTGGTAGGGGGGCTGCCTCCATCTCAAGGGACCTGTCTGCCTCAGGGGACGGACATCCCCAGCCATCCCTGCATGCACCAGGGGCGGCCTAATCCAGGGTGCACTGCCCGGGTTCTGTCAATGATAGAATGAATTCATAGGGTGGGAGGAAGAGGAAGAGGGGTGATGGAGGACAGGGTAGAGCAGCAGCAGTGTTTCCTTTTTCTTTTCTTTTCTTTTCTTTTCTTTTCTTTTCTTTTCTTTTCTTTTCTTTTCTTTTCTTCTCTTTTCTTTTCTTTTTTCTTTCTTTCTTTTTTTAATCTTGGAGCTTGGTTTGTTAAATCCAAGCACACTCCTCAACTCCAGGGCAGCCTGGTTCCCAGGCAGGAGTTGCCCACCCTGAGAGGGGAATGGGTGAGGCCGGAGGGTATGGGAAGCTGTGTGTGTGTGTGTGTGTGTGTGTGTGTGTGTGTGTGTGTTTGAGGCCACTTTGTCCCTCAGACCCAGAGTACAGGAATAAGATGCTGGCACTAGGATCCCCAATTTGGGGTCTGTGGGTTGGACCAGGCTTTAGCTACAGCAGCAGGGACTACAGATAAATTCTTGAAAATCCAGCTGAGTCAGCAGACTGAGCCAGGGACAGGCTGGGGACCCGGCCACTCTGCTCCTTGCTAGCTGGCAGATAACAGATGACAAAGGTCTAAGGAAACCATATAGGATCCAACAAGGAATGGAGTCAAGACCTCCATTTTAATTTTTGACAGTAAAGAAGCAACTCCTAGGACACCGAGCTTATGAGGGAGCAGGTGGGGGGAGTCTTCCTTCGGGGCTTTGAACTTGGACTTCCACAGGTCTCCGGCCACCACTCCCCCTCCTTTGGGTGCCCTCCCCAAAGCAAAACGCGGGGGGGACCCTTTCTGTTCTCACCCCAGTGCTTTCATAATCTCCCGTGGACTCTGTATGCATGTGACCAGGACTGGAGTGGGGGTGCATGCAGAGAGAGGGGGACCAGGGTGCAAAGAGGAAGGCACTCACCCAAGTGGGAGGGAAGAGGGAAGAAGACAGGAGGGAGACTACGGAGGAGAGCAGGAGACTATGGGAGTGAGGAGAGGAAGAAGAGCCATAAGCAGGCAGGGGAGGTACCTTCCTGATCGGCTCTCCTTATTTAAAATTGCTGAAAAGCTTTTTTTCTTTGGTGATACTTGGTTTAAGTGGAGTCTTTAGTTATTTCAGAGTCTCAAAGGAGACAGTTTGGAGTGTAAGCACTGGTCTTAGCAGATGCATTAATCATTGTTAGGACCAGGAACCTTGGAAGAATTAGCAGAAGGGCTGTCTCGGGGGGAGACTGGCTACAGGGCTTCTCCATGGTGTTGGCTGCCTCGCCAGCAGGAAGGGCCGGAAAGGCATGTGGAAAAGCAGGGTTGGGGACACTTCTGCAGCAGCCTTTGGGAGAAGAGGGTCCCCGTCCCTCATCCTGGCTGAGCAGATTCACCAGGAGCCAGCGTCAAGGACGGCGCCCGGCCCCCAGCGCCCCCAGAGTGCCTAGGCTGCGGACAGGGTGGTTCTGCAGCTGCCAGGCGCAGCTTTGGCATCTGGGGCTAAACCTGCCTGAAATCTTTGAGAAAGATGCACAAAAGAAGAGCTTCTACCCTGACTTCCACTGACGATGGGGGTGGGAGAGGAGATTAGGTGGTGGCTGGGAGCACCAAGAAAGTTCCTTACTTGGAGGCAGCGGTTTTACTTCTTTACATCTTGTTCCAACTTTGACTCTGTTTTTAAAATGTAGCGACGAGCTGCTCTGGTTTTGTGCTTAGGCACGTCTGTCATAAGGTCCCTAAGGGTACTGATTACTAAGAAGGCTGACAGGAAGGGCAGACAGGGGCCTCTGCTCATCTAACCAGGGGGGCTCTGCGTTCCCTGCAGCAGCAGCAGGCTGAGCCGGTGCTCAGGGAGGACAGGAAGCTGGCCAGGGCGGGCGTGCAAAGCGGAGCCAGCACCTCACGTGGATGCACGGAGCGGCCATGGGCTCTGCTCCTGCTTTTAGGTCCAAGGGACAGGAGTTGGGAACCAAACAGAACCCGCTCAGCTGAGCTGTTTCCCAGAAGTGCCGTGGTACAGATAGCAGGAGCCTGTCTGAGGATCCTCCTTGCTGGGCTGAGGACATTTGTCCTAGAACTAGTAAGCGTGTTGGGGAACTTGAACCTGGTTTGCTGGACTGTTCTTTTTTTTTTTTTTTTAAAGATTTTATTTATTTATTTATTTATTTATTTATTTATTTATTTATTTATTTAAGATCATGAACAGGGGGAGGGGCAGAGGGAGAAGGAGAAACAGAGTGCCCGCTGAGCAGGGAGCCCAACCCGGGGCTCAATTCCAGGCCCCTGGGATCGCGACCTCAGCTGAAGGCAGATGCTTAACCGACTGAGCCCCCCCTAGTGGCCCTGGCCCATGTTCCTAATGACCATTTGCCATCATTTATCTGCCAACACCCCAAACGAATGCTGAGCTCCACACACTAACACGGCACCTAGAGCAGAACCTTTCCACAACCAGCCCCAGCAGGTGACCAAAGGGGCACAGGAGAAAGTCAGAAACAGGTTTGTCGCAAATGTGTCAGGTCTAATTCCGAGCTGCAGAGACCAGCATAAGCATAATACGGCTCGGTTGTCCTCAGTCCCAGAGTAAGATCATCGCTGCCCCTGTGACAGAATCCAGCGTCGGCGACGCACCGTGGTCTGCGGAGGGCTGGCCCGGCTGGGCTCCCCTTAAGCTCGTGCCCCCAGGGATCCGGGGAGCACCCAGCATGGGCCTACCCCCACGCGGAGCACTCACCTGAGTAACACCAACCTCTGCAGCCTGGGGCTGGGAAGGTATTGTGGGCCAGGTCTCGCAGCCTGGACAGAGGGCCTGATGATTCTCAAGGGACAGGAAGAAGGGTCCGCTTGTCCAGGGAGACAACCGCCAGGCAGCCTGGGAGTAGCTCAGAGTCCATATCCACTTGGATGTGCCCCTGGAGGCTGCCGAGGCCCCTGGAAGCCCACACCCGGTGCGGCGTGGACACTGCTATCTCAGCACCTGGCAGCTCTGGCTCATAAAGACCAACGTAAATCCTGCTTCGTTGCATTTTCACGCCACGTCTGCAGGGAGCATCGAGAGGGGTGTGTTCGCTGGGGATTCAGGTTCGCCTGGCATTTGCTGACCTCCACGATTGCCCAGCAGCAGCATGCTCTGCACGGGGCCACAGGCGATCCCAGGTCACCTTCTGTCCTTGCCCTGGCAACCTGAGCCTTACCGGGAACCGTCCCGGGGCTGTCGCTACCTCCTTCAATGCCTCCCGGATTCCACCCGCTTCCCCTTCCAGGGGACCCACCCTGAGACCCCTTTTGTAGGCTTCATAGATTAGATGTAAATAGGCTTTGGGTTTGCCGGCCAACACGGGACCTTCACGCTCAGCCCTGGGTGTGCGAGCAGTCGTCAAACCCTGGCAAGCAGCTTTCTCACCTCCTGGGTCCCCACCCAACTCTGGCCTTGTGGGAACACCCTGGTTCTCAGGTGCCAGGAGACCTGTGGCAGGTCACTGGAGCTTAACTTCTCTCAGGCTCAAAACTCGTGGACTGCTGGGAGATTTCATGTGCTCAGGGTGTGTGTGTGTGGGGGGGGTGTGCACACATGTGAGGATTGAGCTCCTCACGGTTTCTCATTTCAAGCGTATTTCAAGGCAGGACCGAGAGGGACCTACCAAGCCCAGGGTCCAGGAGGAAAGGGGGGGATTGGGGAATTGGGTGTGGGGACAGGAGGAGCTTAGACACATGGGTTTTGCCAGTGGCGACAGGAAAAGGCAGTGTGGCCCCGCGTCTAGCACAGAGCGTCTAGCACAGAGCGTCTAGCACAGAGCGTGTCCCGTAGGAAGAGCCCGGCCGCGACGCAGAAGGAAGGAGGGGAGAAGTCCTGAGCGACAGGCCTCCCGCAGTGCCCGCTCCTTGGGGCCTGCCTTCCTGGAAGCGTCGCTTCTCTGTCCCCTCCGTTCTCATACTTCTGCCCTTCTCTCCATCCCTCTCTTTCAGGGCTTCGAAGACCCCAAGGACAAGTGAGTAATGTGCACTTCTTTATCCCTGCTGCCTCGGCCTGAGGGGGAGCCCCACATCTGCCCCAGAGCTCCGCGCTGCGTGGGCCCCGGGCGGAGAGGCTGGGTCTCGGCGCCACCCATCTGTCCTCCCCCACAAACACATCGCGCCCACGTGCCTGCAGCTCTCAGGAAAGTGCAGACCTTGCACGTCGTTGGTCACCGGCCCCTGGCTGCATCCCAGGGTCCCAAGGGACTGTCCTCCTCTTTCTCCTCTACTTCCCGGTTCTTGGGGGCTGACCCCACTGAGCACTGGGCGTTGCCTTGAGGAATGGGGCTTTAAGACCAGCACCCTGATGGTGAAACCTGCTTCCCGGAGGGTGCCCCGAGCTGGGTGAAAGCACTGGGGTGGCCCACGGCCTCTGTGACAGTGGTCCTGGCCTTCCTTTCGGGACAGTGGTACAGCTGGAGAGCGAGGAGCAGAGGCTGTTACCTGTGGGGAAAGCAATTAAGCCTTCGACCTTAAGGCATCGCTGTTCTACTGTAATGATCCATCGGTAGAGTCAGAAGAGCTATTGTCAGGAGGCCCTTCAGCCAGCGGGTCAGACAGGGCCGGTTTTCCGTGCACGTGCGCAGCTAAGAGCGGGGGACGTGGGCTCCTGGCCGTCCGGGTCCCAGTCCCAGGGCCACCCCTTACCCCTCTTATTAGGCCCTTTCTGCCCAGCCCGGTGCACGGGGCCAGGTGGGCGCTCTAGCAGGGTCCCCCTGGTGGCAGCCTCTCTTGCTCCCCAGGAACGCCCAGGAAAGTGCGAACCCTGAGGATGAAGTGGATGAATTTCTGGGCCGCGCCATTGACGCCAGGAGCATCGATAGGCTGCGGTCGGAGCACGTCCGCAAGTTCCTCCTGACCTTCAGGGAGCCTGACTTAGAAAAGAAGGTACAGCACCCTGGGCGGGAAGGAGGCCCTGGGCACAGCCAGGCCCCGGGAGGAGGGCAGGGCACCGGTCGGCTCCCTGCCTGTCCCCGTCACCCCAGAAAGGGCCCTTCCTGGTCAGGGTCGCCTGCTCGATGCCGCACTGCCCAGGAGATGGAGATTTTAGGGAGACGTCCATGGTCGGAAGGGAGGAGTCCTAATGTCCCCCGTGCCTCTGTGTCCTTATCCGGATAACGGGGCTGTTTAACCTACCGTGTCCACAGGGTCATAGGGTTAAACCATCCACAGATATAAAACACCGAACACAGTATCCGTGAATGGCAGTTGCTAGTTGTATTATTTTTGTTACTCTTGTCAACATCCTCACCGGTGGACACACACTGTCTCGGCAGGGGCAGTCGGGCCTCTCTTTCCCATCTCAAGTTGTGACTGAGAGGTTGGGCGACTTGCTGTAGACCACCAGGGAAGTAGTGACAGAGCCGGGGCCAGACCACAGTGCAGGGTGTGTGGCCCCCACCCCCCATCGCAGTTCCCTGGGGTTGGGTTAACGTGGGCTCACGTGAACTGGCGCCCTGTGTGAGAGACGGACCAGCCAGGCCAGCACCATTCCAGCGGTAAATGGCACTGAGCTGCGGAGCACCCCGCTGGTGACTCGGTGCCAGCGAGACCTCTGGGGACACAGCCTGTTGGGTGTCTGGCCCTCGGAGATGAGCTCTATGATTTGGGTGAGTCTCCTGTCGGCCTCGAAGCAGCGGCTACGTAGGCCCTGTTCCCGCGGCCCTTGCAAGGACGGCGTAGACCATGCCCGGGTCCTAGCGTGTAGGTGGTGCTGGGTGATTGAGCCAGGATCGTTATGAACGACTCTCCTGGTGACCCGACCTGCAGAAAGTTTCTGGTTTGACACAATTCAGCTGCCCTCCCCGCAGGTACCACGTTGTGGTGCTTTGGGCTGGTTTCCTGAGCACCGAGGCTAGCGCTGGTTCCACTGGGTGTCACAGGTCTTGGGAGTGGGCTGGCCCCGTGTGTCTGGGGTAGAGCAGGGCTGGAGCAGACGGAGCCGGGCGCCTCCGGCCATCTCACCCTGCGCCCTCCTCTCAGTACTCCAAGCAGGTGGATGACCGATTCGGTGCCTACGTGGCATGTGCCTCGCTTGTCTTCCTCTTCATCTGCTTTGTCCAGATCACCATCGTACCCCAGTGAGTACCATCCCTCTGGCTGCGGGGCTCTAGGGGTGGGAGCGGAGGTCGTGTAGGAGAGCAGAGGCGGGAGTCCGACTTGCTCAATCAAGGAGAGGTGTCCCCACGTGTCCTTGGTGGGACCGGGAAGCCGCAAGTGTGACTCACTGTGGTTGACTCCGCGGTGCCCGGGAGGTGATGTGCTCCCTCCAGGATGGGAAACCTCTGCGGCCACTGCCTTGCTGCCCGAGCGACTCCTCAGCTTTTGACTGTCTCTCCCCATTGCAACCCACACCGCTGTGTCCCTTAGATCACCCCCAGGGTTCACCACGTTTGCTTCCGTGTGACCTTTGGCTCTTGCAAAATCATCAGCACATCTTCAAAAGATAAAGGTTTTCCCCAACTCTGGGTATTTCAAAGAATAGATTTCTGGTTCTGAAGGCTTTTCTCAACGCTTCCAGGGACCGGCCGTGTCCCTGGGAGAGGCCTGTAGCTTCCGAGGGGACCAGTCTGAAGTGGGTAATGGGCTTTCAGAAATGAGTCACACCTAGACAAGAAAGATGATTGTGTTACTTCTGTTATGTTTGTGTGTGTGTGTGTATTCATTTGTATGTGTGCATGTGCACGTCTATATGCATTTGCTACTTTTTTTGCATTTATTACTTTTTATCGTGCAGTATTTCAAACATACAGAAAGCAATTAATACAATCAGCACCATCTCCTAGATGTAACTATCGCTGATGTTTTACAGTGGTTTCATCTTTATTTTTCTGACTACTTAAATCTTAGACAAAAGGACGTTTTTCCCCCTAAAAACTCTCAATATCGATATACCCACGTGGGGGGCATTTTCCTTCTAAACCACAATGCCTTATACCCCAAACAAAATCAATACCCGGCCTCTGCAATCCTGTAACGCCAAGTCCGTGGTCACGTTTCTAAAATTGTCTCCAGATGTCACTTCGTAGCCAGGATCTACTCAAGATCCATTGGCTGCATTTGGTTATGTCTCCTAAGTCCCGCTGAATCTAGAAGAGCACCCTGACCCCAACACCTTCTACTTTTCATCCTGAGATAATTGTAGACTTACAGAAAAGGGGCAGAAGTACTACAGAGAGTTTTTGTGCATCTTCCCCCCAGTTCTCCGTAGCGTTGGCCATTTATGTAACTGTGGCACACGGGGTGGAAACCAGGAGATCAACACAGCAGTGGTGCCGTGAACCAACTGACCACCATCTCGTTCCATCAGTGTTGCCCCCAGTGGCCTTCCTGTGTCCCAGGAGCCAGTCTAGGATCCCACATTGCATTTAGCTGTTCTTTCTCCGTGGTCCCGTCTCGTCTGTGACATTCCCTCAGCCTTTCCTTGTCTCTTGTGGCCTTGGCACTTCGGATGAGTACTGGCCAGTCAATTTGGAGAATGTCTCCATTGCGTTTATCTGATGTTTTCCTCTTAATGAGACTGAGGTTGCACAGTTTTGCCAGGAATCCCGCAGAAGGGATGTGTCCTTCTTAGTGCCTGTTGTCAGGAGGTATGTGATGCCTGTACATCGTATCACTCAGAGCCTTTGATTTTTTAACAACGCACCGTTGTGGCGATGGCCATCCACGTGGTGCCCGCTGTGACTCCAGCAGGACACCGCAGGGCCCGGCGCCCAGCTCCACTCTGTGCAGCTAACGCCCGTTGCCTCCCACACCGAGGGGGCGCAGAGCTGGTGGGGCTGTGGGTGACACAGGACCCTGTTTTTTTAAATTTAAGTGGGGCTCCAGGTCTAGATGAGCGACGCATGTTTTTCTGTCCCATCGCTGCTCTTGGCAGTCCAGTAGCTTGGGTGCAGATAACCCCACCGGTGCGCCGCTCTCCGTTCCTGCAGCGTGGCTCGTGGCTCCTGGGCCGGCTTTTCCTCCGTCCCTGCTCTGTGTGCGTGCGGCGGCTCCCTTCCCCCTGGCCACAGCCCTGAGCTGCTAAAGGCATTGGCGGGAGGCCGCCTCCAGCAGTCCTCTCTCTGCAGAAGCATTAAAGGCTGCTTTAAAGGTCTCTTTCCCTCTGAAGAGAGTTCTCTACCCTTGTTCTATTGGTTTAAGGCCCCAAAGTGCTGGCTTGCGGGGAGCCTGGAATAAAGCCGCCCTCTGAAGCCTCTCTAGAGGTATTCACCTGCCTCCTCAAGTCCTCTGCTTGCCTTTAACCTGCTAATGACCCTGGCACCCCCAGGTTACTCTGGCTCCCTGAAAGGGGAAGGCCTCCCGTAGGATGGGGCGTGCCTTAGCCAGCCCCGCCCCAGGAGAGCCAGCGGGCCGTTTGGGTGGAAAGCCACCAGCCGCTCTGATGTCTGAGGGTTCTGGCCCGAGCTGAACGTGAAGATCACCTGTGATCTCCTCCCGAAGCAGGGACAGGGGAGCGCCTTGCATTTTCTTGTTGGACCGGCAGGCTGAGGAGGACTTGTCGTGAGGCTTGGCAGGGGACAGGGTTTAGGGACTGTGCCCTCCAAAGGGATACATCACTGCTGTTCCTCAGTGTCTGGTTGGGCTGCTGACAAATGCTTTTTATTTTATTTTTATTTTTTAAAGATTTTTAAATTTTATTTATTCATGAGAGACGCAGGCAGAGGGAGAAGCAGGCTCCATGCAGGGAGCCCGACGCAGGACTCGATCCCGGGTCTCTAGGATCAGGCCCTGGGCTGAAGGCGGCGCTAAACCGCTGAGCCGCCCAGGCTGCCTGACAAATGCATTTTAAAAATGATGGCCTTCTGTCCCATTTTCAGCCCTCACAGTCACTTACCTAGCCGCGAGTAACTCCGGGGAGGGAATAACCAGGTGGCTTTTACAGTAGCTCCTCCCAGCTAAAGGAGTGCGTCTCTGGGTAGCTGGGAACGAGGCAAAAAGTCAAGCCGGTGACCCTTGCTTCTCCATTCGGGGCTCTGCGGGCTCCACTCCCCACAGGGAGGTGCAGGGAGGAGGCAAGGACGGGATCCAGACCATCATGTGGGCGGGCTGGGGGGGGGGGTCCCTGAATCTGTCCATAAGGCTGTGTAAGCCCTTGTCAGTGCGTCAGGGGCTGGAACAGACTGGGCAGTGGGCTCAGGGGAAATGGAGCAACTTCTCTTTCCTTCCAGAGGCTTTCAGAGCCCCAGAATCCCCCAGCTCCTCTCTTTTTCCAGCTCCGTGTTCATGTTGAGTTTCTACTTGACCTGTTTCCTGCTGCTGACGTTGGTGGTATTTGTGTCCGTGATCTATTCCTGCGTGAAGGTGAGTCTTGCTCGCGCCTGAGCCCGCGGTCACCTTCTTCTCTCCCCTCCCAGCCCAACGGGAGCCCAGGAATCCCACGTGGGATCGGGGGGCCGTGAAGCTGGGGCACCAGCCTTGATTGGCGTGAGCAGCAAGTGAGACTGCAGGATGGGCTTTGCCAGCGGAGGCTTGCTGGTATGGGCTATTGTAGTCTGCCTTTGCGAATCTTGGCGACGTGAAGGTAGTGTCTCTGCCTCCTGTCTCTGCCCCCTTGGTGTCAGTTGGGATGAAGGAAGGGCACCTAGCATAAAGCCGAACGGGGAGCAGTGGTCAGGAAACATGTGCTGAAAGCATGAGAATGGAAGAGACCTCGCTCAGCAACCCCTTCAGTGTCCCCATGCACCTGGAATGGGCTCAGGTGGGGACCATAGGGATGATGGCTTTTGAGCACCCGTCATATAGATGAGGAGAGTGGCCCAGAGTGGTTCAGAGCTTCAGACAGGGCCACACGGGGCATGAGAACCCTGTTCTGTGTTTTTCTCCCATACCTCCTCTTAGGTGTGCTGTGGGGACCAGGCCACAAGCCATTCTGGTCTGTGACGGAAGTCACTCAGTTCCCCTTTGCCTTGTCCACCAAGCCTTTCCCTCATTTCCTTCCGTGGTGGTTTAAGGCTTCCCTGACAGACCAGCCCTGGTCCCAGAGAGCACTCTGTCCCCAGGCAGGTACAAGCCCCTCCAGCTTCTGCTGTAACCATTTCTCTGTTCGTCCCTGATGCTCACTTGGAGCCAAGTCCCAGCAAGGGTGGGGGACAGGCTCCACCATCATTCCCTACATATACTGCAGTGGGCACCATGTTCTCCTTCCAAAGGGACTGGACCTTTGTCACCTCCAGAGTCCCCTTTCTCTTTCCAGCCTCCAAGCAAGGTATTTCATGAGACTGTTATTTGTTTAATTACCTAATGGCCGAGGTCTTGGTGGACAAACTGTCAGAATGGGGAGGCCCTCCTGGGAATCCTCTGGAGGGCCGGTGCAGAAGGGGACATCCACGGGGGGACCAGGGGCATTTGGCAAGTTGAGCTACGTGTGTGGCCTGTTACTTTGCTGCACCATGGGATTTAACCCTGGTTCCCGGCCTCTCCACCAGCTCCGTCCTCAAGGCTCTGTGTTCAGTCGCAGCCTGCCTTCTGGTCTTGCCCTTGTCATGCCACACCCCCAGCCTGCTTTCTTCCCCCACAGGGGGCAGTTCTACTTTCTTCATCTTATGGCTATAAAAGCACATGGTACACTCACAACAGGTGCAAACAGCCCAAATATCTGTCAACAGATAAAGAAACAAGAATAGTATATGGTATAGATAATGCTGGAATATTACCTACCCACGGAAGGCAATGATGTTCTGATACATGCCTACAACACGGATGAGCCTTGGGAGCATGCTTAGTGAAAGGGGCCAGACCCAGAAGGACATAGATTGTATGATTCCACTTACAGAGTATCTGGAATAAGCAAATGTATAGAGACAAAAAATAGACTAAGTGGTTCTGGAGTTGGCAGGGGAAGGAGTGGAGAGTTCTGGCTTCGTGGGCACGGAGCGTACGGAGTGGTAGAAAGTTTTGGAACTAGAGCATTTTGGGAATGGAGTGGTGACGGTTGCTTAACATTATGCATATAATTCATGCCCCTAAGTTGGACACTTACAAATGGTAAAAAATGGTAACTTTACGGTACATGTGTTTTACCGCAATAAAAGAGGTCACGACAACCAGGAAAAAAAAAAAAAAAGATACACCATAGCTAAAAGTAAACATTCTTTCGTGAACGTCCAGAAGAATCTTTTCTCTCTTTAAGTCCTAAATTGAGGCAAAGTCATTGTTTGAGGTACTTGACTAGCTTATTCAAGTTAGGATCAAAGCCATACGGAGTCTACAAGTCTAACACGAGAACCTGGATTTCTCTCTTTCCTGTGAGCTGCTTCAGCAAACCTGAGCGACCCCGACTTCCTCTGGTTTGCGTTCCCCGTTTGGCACACGTATCTGGTGGGAGGGGAGGGGAGGAGGAGGAGAGGGAGGAAGCTTCATTTCCCCACCTGAACTGGCCATTTTGAGTTCATACTTTTATTTTTTTTTTTTTATTTTTTTTTTTTAAATTTTTTTTTTATTTATTTATGATAGTCATACAGTGAGAGAGAGAGAGAGAGAGAGAGAGGCAGAGACACAGGCAGAGGGAGAAGCAGGCTCCATGCACCGGGAGCCCGACGTGGGACTCGATCCCGGGTCTCCAGGATCACGCCCTGGGCCAAAGGCAGGCGCCAAACCGCTGCGCCACCCAGGGATCCCCGAGTTCATACTTTTAAAAAAAAGATTTTATTTATTTATTCATGAGAGACAGAGAGAGAGAGAGGCAGAGGCCCAGGCAGAGGGAGAAGCAGGCTCCATGGAGGGAACCCGACGCGGGACTCGATCCCGGGTCTCCAGGATCACGCCCTGGGCCACCGGGGCTGCCCTTGAGTTCATACTTTGATCCAGTGAATTCTTCTTTGCTGCCGTTGAAGATTATTTATGGAAATCATCCTGCTCGTGCTTCATTGACTCTATTTTGTCATCAGTGTCACACGCAGCTTATTCTCAATTCCTTTATCCAGCCCAGCGATTTTGCGAGGCTGCTTCTGCCCTGCAGGGTGGAGCTTCCATAAACAGTTGCACTAGGGAAAACGTCCTGGGCGGCTTCACACGTGTGGCAGGTGTGGCAGCTGCCGTCGGGGCCGGGAGCCCAGGAGCCTCGGACGCCCGCCCTGAGCTCCTGGCGGCGGCCTCCCCCTCTGGTGCGCCGTCTTCTCTGCAGCTCCCCACTTTCTGGGGAGTGGACCCCCCCAGGAGCTGTTCGTAGTATGAATTCCTCCCTCCCCCTCGTGTTGCGGGTGAGCCGCCTGCACGCTGAGACGCGGAAGGGCCGGTTCTCCAAGGGCGGGCTGGCCTCCCCGTCCCCGCAGCGGCCTGTCCCGGCCCTGAAAATTGATTTTATCACCTTTTCAAAGGTATTGCCACGGAGCTGACGCCACTGAAATTTCCCTTGTCGTCCTGCTTTCCCTTTGAAGACATTTGCCCTTCACCGGCGCCCAGACCTCTCTTCCTTCCACGGTTTTCCAGCAGCCACGGCCGGTGGCTCTCTGAGGAGCTACGGCAGCTCCTGAGTGACCCGCGGCCCGGGCCCGGCGGCTCTGAGACTCGGGTCTTCCTCACACTCCGTTTGCTTCCCCATGTGCCCCAGACAACTGGATCGACCTGCTCAAGTGTCCATATTTTACCCTGTTTGAAGAGACAAATGTGAAGACAGTGTCGCCTGAATTTGTCAGAATCAGCTTAGTCGTCCTAGCTGAGTGTCAGGGAACAGCGGCCTGGGTCCCCGCCTTGGGAAGGTTCTCGAAAGCTTGCTACTGAGCGCTCCGATGGCCGTGGCGTCGCGGCCTGTTTGAGCTTCTCGTGACACAGTGAGGCCCAGGTCACACACACACCCCGAGATGGCGCCCCGGTCTCCGGGCCTCACTGCTTCAGGGCCTCGCTGTCTCTGGGATGCTTGGCCCTCAGGATCATCCCTCGAGTGCTTCTTTTCTTCCGGGGCCAGTCCAAGTGACGTGCAGTTGCACGTCCCTCCTCCCTTCCCTCAGCACCCATGCTGCCCGGGGCCCCAGAGCTGCTTGTCTTAGGGAAACCCATGCTGAGGGACCCCTGGGGGGCTCAGGGGTTGAGCAACTGCCTTCAGCTCATGTCATGACCCCAGGGTCCTGGGATCGAGTCCCGCCTCGGGCTCCCTGCATGGAGCCTGCTTCTCCCTCTGCCTGTGTCTCTGCCTCTCTCTCTGTGTCTCTCATGAATAAATACATAAAATCTTTAAAAAAAAAAAAAAAGAAAAAAGGAAAGAAAGAAGGAAAGAAGGAAAAGAAAGAAGGAAAGGAAAAGAAAAAGAAGAAAGAAAAAGAAGGAAAGAAGGAAAGAAAGAAGAAAAGAAAGAAAGGAAAGAAAACCCATGCTGAAACCCTCCTGGCCATCACGTAGGGTCCGCAGACTCAGAGTCTCACATTGGAAATGGCCAAAGCGGTGAAGTTGGAATCCCTTATGATAACCGAGCGAGGCTGGGCCAGCCTCCGTTGATTACCCCCGGGGATGGTGAGCTCGCTCGCGTCCCCGGAGTACAGTGCCTCCCCACTGTAGGCGCCCCTGACGGCCCGTCAGCCTCCCTGTGGCCCCTGCCCTCCGGCCGGTGAGGCAGCCAGGCCTACTTCTGACAGTGCCAGCGTTTTCGCTCCCACCACCCAAACGGGAAGAGGAGGTTGGCTCCCTCCTTTCCCCACATCCTGGCCTGGACCCTTTACTGCATCTCGGGGGCTGGGAGCAGACAGGCCCGGAGGACGTACCTGGCGCAGTTCTTGGCGTGTGCGCGCGTGTGCGGGAGCGTGTGCGCACAGGTACATACATGCGTGTGTCTAAACCTCCATCCTCCCGGCGGCTGGCTCCCTCTCAGCTCGCCTCCCACGGGCAGCCGGCTGCCTGGGCTCCTGGGAGCTGCCACCAGAGCCGCTTCTAGGCTCTGCGAGCTCTGAGACGTCCCCAGAAACCTCCTGTCCCTTCCTGCAGTCTCCACGGCTTCGCCAAGTCCCCCCCACTTTGCCAACTCTCCTTTCCACCACCCCGGCCTCACTGCTCCCCCAGGCTCTGAAGCGGGTTCTTACTACACAGTAGTCCGCCGTAGTGTCTTCTCTCCTGTGATGAGCCCAGAGCCCCCACACTCACCTTCCACCTGCATGTGGGGTTCACGCTGTCAGGGAGACTGTGTGTTGGGGCCCGACTCGTGTTCCTTTGGGGACAGAGGACTCTCCGTTTGGGGGACATAGCTCAGGTCCCTGCGGGGTCTCGAGTCCAGCAGTCGAGGGTCGGCCCGGCTGTGCCACTGAGCTGTGCTTCCTCCGCCTCTAAGGTGAGGTTATTACAGGTTATCCCATCGTCTTGCAGGGGAGGTTAGGCAG